GCCATTAATCATGGTACATGTACCTGTCTGAATTGCTTTTCATAAGGGATATTTCCCCTCAGCTATCTTGCCATGTCAACCCTCAGGAACAGGATGAGAACAGAAACCTGAGTTCTCCAGAAAGGTATATGTGATTGAGGCAAGGGAGGGTTCCCCCGGCCCAGGTTGTCTCGGAGACAGGAGCCCCTTCCTGCTGGCCATGGGGTCTTGAACAGAAAACTTAATTTTTCTCCTAAACTCCCCCACCTCAGACTTGGGAATGGAGCTGAGGGGATAGAGGCCAAGTTTATTCCAACTTGGGCAAATGACTGCTGCTTAGGGAAGGTACAGAGACCCCCACCCAAGGTCCCCAAAGTGCCTCAGCTGGGAGTCGGGAACTAAGTTCTAATTTGGCTCTAACTGGAACCCCAGCTTTCAAGATACTTTCAGAAACACTCTCCTTAAATGTAATGGTCACTGTCACCATACAGCTGGAAATGTGGGCTGAGGTGCTTGTTCCAAGGGCTAGGATTCCAAATCTCAGAAAGTGTCCCTAAGGCAGGAAGTGAAGCACTCCTCCCAGCCCTGCTGCTGTTGCTGCCGCCCTCTCTCCTCTCTGCAGCCAGAGCCACAAGGTAGCGCTGTGGCACTGTGCCGTCAGGGTTCTGGGCCACAAAGAGGAGGCCCCTGGAAGTTATTCTGGGGTCTCTGATCTTATAACAGAAAATATTTTTTTCGTGTTTTCAAAGTTCTGCCTCTTTGCCCAGAGACTCACCCAAGAATCTTGCTGCAAGCTTCCAATCTTGCAGGTCTGAAGTGGAGCCTGAGAGTCAGCATTTCTAGTGAGCACCCAGGATATGCCCATGCAGCTGGCCTCAGTCTCTTACGTAGAACAGCAGCAAGGGCTTGTTGCCTTCTCTAAGCCTCCCCTCTGACCCTTGCAGAAGTGCATCCTGGATTCAAACGACCAAAGCAAGAGGAGTTAGAAAATGACCCACACCCAGTTTTATAGATGGGGAAACCTAGGCCTACCCCATGCGGGAAGGAACTTGTTCAAGATCTCACAGCAATTCCGTGACAAAGTCAAGTCTCAGGCCTCCCGCATAGGGGAGAAAACAAAAACAAAAACAAAATCCAGAAAAGATATGCATGGAAATGTTAACTGTGTTTTCTCTGGGTGAACCCTGGATTTCTTTGATTTTTTCCCCCCTCTTTCTTTTGCTGTTCTTTCTCTCCCTCCTTCCTCTTTCTTTTCTTTTGTTTTTTAAAAACCTGGATTTAAAAACAAAAAACAAAACAAACAATGAACACGTACTGATTTTGTGATAAAATAATTTTAGTAAAAGAAAATTCTCACGTTCTCAGTAAATGAGACTGTTTACGAATGTGCTTGCTAAGCGGTCATGACATACAGCAGCAGCAAGTGTTCCGCGTGTATTTCAACTCGAAGCGTCCACGAGTCACTCTGGGGACGTTATCCTTCCGCTTTTGGGAACACGCACCCAGGAGGTGAGGAGGGCCGTCGCGGCGCCCCCGCCAGCCACCCACGCGCGGTCCTCTGCAGCCAGGACGCTTCCCCCAAGTGCTGACGTCAGGACTCCTTCCCTTTTAATCGGGGAAGAAGGTCCCCTAATGCCTTTGCGTAGTAAACGACCTCGGGCCGAGTCTGCTTTTGTGGCTAGCTTCCTAAGCTTAATTGCAAGCAAAGTTAATTGGAAAGAAAATAAATGTTACAGCTCCGGGGCGAATTCTAACGAGCCTTGGGCCATTAGGGAAGAACGCATCTAATCACCCCAAGCCCGGGGCGCCTGCACACGGCGCTGGGGTTGCAGGGCCCGGAGAGGGGTAAACGATTTTTCTGTGTTTATAATAGGAAGAAGAAGAAACGATAAAATAAGAAGAAATGCACCTCCAGTTTGTGAGCGCCCCGCCCCCCCCCCCACATGGGGTCCTCTCCCGCGGCTTGGA